GTTCTGTGCCCGTGGGAACCCGAGTGGGGCTCCCCACAGAGAGAATCGGGCACGGGAGGGTCGGTGTGGTGCGCTTTGGATATGAGCCTTTCCTGACAATAATTCAGATGTTTATTTATTTATTTTCTGCGCGAGGGGTGACTCGGTCTCCCAGCAACACCCGACGCGCGCTGGAATCGGGCAGGAATGGCAGTGAGTGCTAATACGGCTGGGATGGCAGTGAGCAACAGCAGCCCAGAATAACCATGAGAGTTTAAAAAAAAAATGACCTTTTTTCTATGAAGGAATAGAAAAGTGAGAAAGCAGAGCTGCTGTCAAATACTGAGTGGGGAAAATGTCAAAACATAGCAGGATGGAGTGAGTTTGCTCTGTGTGGTGGAAACAAGGGGAATTCTGCAGGGAATCCTTTTGTCACCTCAGCTGGCTCTGGCATCAGGCCTGGTGCAGTTTTAAGCTGGAAAATAGCTACGGTTTTGAACTGGCTTAAGATTTCCAATTTTGCATCCTAGTCCTGTAACTCTTGAGTTATAATTACTTGCTCCCATCCTGCTTTACCAAGAAAAAGTGAGAAAACAAATAATTTTCTTTTTCAGGTTTAAATACCAAGTGAATCAGGATGTCAATTGTCACAGTGCAGCTCGGGCAGTGTGGGAACCAGATTGGGCACGAGCTGTTCAGTGCTCTCTGCAGAGACAGCCGTGGCACCCACGGGCTGTGCTCCAACAATGAGAACCAATCCTACCAGGATTCCTGCAAGGAACGGTTCTTCTGTGAGGAGGAATCTGCAGGTACAGCTTTAAAGGGCTTTTTTCCCCTCTCAGGGTCGGATTTCAGTACAAAAAACATGGTTTATTTTATGGTTTATTTTATGAGAGATCTGTGCTCTCTGGAGTTCAGATTTGGTTTTGGCTCAATAGATGGTTCAGCAGAAATCAGGGCATAGCCAGATCCTTTCTGCACTGTCCCATTAAGAGTGGTAGGAATAACCCTGGGCCATTACACCCATCCAAGCCCATCATCCCGTTAAATAATCAGCATTTTCCCCCGTTTGGTTTTCCCTCCTGTGCAGTGCCTGCTGCCCGGGCTGTGCTGGTGGACATGGAGCCCAAGGTGATCAGCCAGGCCTTGTCCATGGCTGCCAGCTCTGGCCACTGGAGGTACAGCAGCCACTCCCACTTCTGCCAGAAGCAAGGATCTGGGAACAACTGGGCCAACGGGTAGGAAAAGCTCAAGCTTCCCTGGGGGAGTTCTGGAGGCTGAGGAGCTCATACAGCAGCTGTGGCACTTAAAGTAAAATTTTATTTTATTTTGGTGTTTTGTGTGACCCCACAGCTACTGTGTTCACGGGCCCAGACACAAAGAAGCAATCATGGAGCTGGTGCAGAGGGAAGCAGAGAGATGTGACAGACTGGGGGGATTTCTCACCATCATGAGCATGGCTGGGGGCACAGGGTCAGGCCTGGGGGCCTTTGTGACCCAGTGTTTGAGAGATGCTTTTCCAACCTCCTTCATCCTGAACCATGTCATCTGGCCCTATGGCACTGGGGAGGTGAATGTCATTTGCCTTTTAATATATAATAATACTTTATATAGAATTTATAGGTTTAGAATCAGTGGTTACTTTTAAACAAAATATCTACAACAGAAATAAACTAAATAATGGGTAAATAAACATAATAAATAGGTAATAATAAACATAAATAAAATAAATAAAAATATAAAATGAAATAAACATAAAATAGAAATAGACATAAAATGGGGAAATATAAAAAACTAAAATAGAAATAGAAAAAAATAAAAATAGAAATATATATTAAAATGGGTACACATTTTACACTGAAAAAGTTCAAGTGACCCGGTATCACAGCTAAAAAATTTTTACCAAAAAATTCCTGTTGCTGATTTAATTGCTGAAGTGATGCAGATTCACAAGAAGCCAACTAGAAATCTCCTGATCTGCCCTTATCTCAGCTCTGTAATCAGTTCCCAGGCAGATCTGGTTGCAGCATGTTTGTATGGAGGGAGATGGATAACCTGATTTTCACAGGTCTTGCCCTCTCTCCATGGAAAGGCTCTGACCTCATTCTGCACTCTGGCAAAGAAAATGAATCACTTCCTAAATCATAACTGAGGAAACAGCAGGAGCCAGGGGATTATAAACTAAAAGGAGATTAAATTGTTTGACTCTTCTTTGTGTGTGTGGTTTTTTTTTTTTTTTGTTTGCTTCCAGGTCATTGTTCAAAACTACAACTCTGTTTTGACTCTGTCACATCTGTACCACTCCTCAGATGCCCTCCTTGTCCATGAGAATGATGTCATCCACAAGATCTGTGCCCAGCTGCTGAACATCAAACAGATTTCCTTCAGGGATGTCAACCAAGTCATTGCTCACCAGCTGGGCAGCGTTTTCCAGCCCGCTCACGC